CCTCCGACCTCTTCCAAGCTCCCTGCTCCTCCTCTGGCCTCGTCCCTTCTCCTTCCGTCCTCCTCCTCCTGCTGCTGCTCCTCCTCCTCTGCCTTCCACTCCTTACCCCGCTGATCTTACCTCCTCCATATCGTCCTGTCTCTATCATCCTCGTCCTCCCACTTGCCTCCCCCGTCCCTGCTCCTCCTCCTCCTCCCCCCCCCCCCCCCCCCCCCCACCCTCCCCCGTCCCAGCTCGAGCCCACCCCTCTCTTGCCCTATTCCCTGTCCCTTTGGTGCTTGGAGGGAGGGTGGGGGGGGGAGGGGTCTGGGGGAGGAAGGAGGGGAGGACAGTCCTCGAGGAAGAGAAAGAGGAAGGTCAGGACACTCCTCGAGGAAGAAGGCGAGGACAGTCCTCGAGGAAGAAGGGGAAGACAATCCTCGAGGAAGAGAAGGAGGGAGGATAGGGCCCGCCTGCGCGCGCCCCGGTCAGGAATGACGACGACGAGGGAGGGTAGCAGGAGCAGCGAGGAGGAGAGACGGGAGGAGGAAGGAGGAATGAGGAGGAGCAGGAGGAGGAGCGGGAGGGGGGGAGGAGGACAGGGAGGAGGAGAGGAGAGGACCGGTGGAGACGAGGAGCACGACGACGACTACGTGGACGAGGATGAAGACAGGGCGTGGTAACACATCTTAAGGACGATGAGGACGAGCACAGAGAAAGGGAGAGAGGGAGAGAGATATAGAGAAAAGCCATAACAACATACTACTGAGGGAGAAGGAAGAAATAATACAAATGGCCGGTGGTAAGGAGTAAGGCGATGGGGATGATGATGGTAATGGTGATGATGGTGATTGTGCTGATGATGTGATGATGATGGTGATGTTCATGCTGATGGGGGGTGATGATGATGGTGATGATGACCATGATGATGCTCACGCTGCTATTGCAGATGAAGATGAATATGAAGATGACGATGAAGATGAAGATGAAGATGAAGATGAAGATGAAGATGAAGATGATGATGATGATGATGATGATGATGATGATGATGATGATGATGATGATGATGCTAATGGTGATGTTGATGATGATCCTTATTATCATGATGATGATAATGATGGTGGTTATGGTGATGATGATGATGGTGGTGCTGATGACAGTGATGGTCATGGTCATGCTGATAATGATATTGATGACGATGGTGATGATGATTGGGATGATGGTGATGGTGGTGGTGACGGTGGTGGTGATGATGCGACTAATGACGATGGCGATTACCATCATGATGCTGATGGTAATGGTGATGGTGATGATGGTGGTGACGGTGCGTGATGATGATGCTGATAGTCATGGTGATGCTGCTGATGGTTATGATGCTGATGATGATACTGATGATGATGCTGATGATGATGACGATGGTGATGATGATGGTGATGATCATGATGGCCCGCTAATCCCAGCTCTACCAGACGAGCCTCCTCATACACAGAGTGCCTCATAGGGGCCTCGGCACAGCGATCGAAATCGCGCCAGCCCCGCCAGCGGGGGCCACTGGCTGTGTAAGCTGCGACGTGGACGGTACTGCAAACATCGGGGCGAGATGTGTCCGCACACGGGGGCTGACTGTCAAGTCGGGCACGTGTTCGCCAGCCTGGGGTTCGCAGCTGTCGCTGCGTTCACCTTCTTCGGGGTCCCAAGTCGGTCTCACCCTACCTACGAAACGAAACAAGTATGGAGCTAAGTGGCTGCAAAAGCAAACTTTCCACATCAAGGGCCCAGTTGGCGGGAAAAACGCACAAGCCTGGAGACGGCCCCTATGGAGAAACAAAAATCAAGTGGGCGATTCACGGCACCACCCTCCCCACTTCAGACCCCAGTAGAGTACCAGGCAGGCCCCCTCGGGCCCCCTCCCCTCGCCCTCCCACTCGCAGGCTGGAGGAGGGGAGGAGGGGCCTGAGCTCCCCCTAGGGGGCCGGGGCCCTTGCTCGGGCCGAACCCGCACGCCTACACCGGCCGCGCACGCGCACGCCAGCCGCTCACCTCCCCCCCCTGGTCCGCAGGTATCCGCCATCCTGTTTCTCGCCTCTCTCTCTCTTGTCACCTCCTGGCTTTTGTTCCCCTCCTCGAAGGCGCACTGGCGGGAGGGGTCGAGGGCGCCACCTTTCATCAGGAGAACCGTTCGCAGTCTCGAGTCCCGAGTCCCGAGTCCCGAGGAGGAGGAGGAGGAGGAGGAGGAGGAGGAGGAGGAGGAGGGAGAAGGAGAGGAAACCCGTGGTGCCGGTGTGGCCGTGGGGGAGAAAAATGGGGACCAGGGGTGTTGGCGGCACTCCGGGAAGGCAGGGGCCGTCGTGGAAGCCTCCCACAGAGGGAACGCGAGGGATGGACTCGGAGGATGGCCGGCGCATCGCCGGCGCAGTCGGCGGTGCGTCGGCGGCGCGTCGGCAGTGTCTCGGCGCCGTTGGCGCGGAGAAACTCGGGCGCAACGGGTCGTGCGCGAGATGCGTAGCAACCTCGCGCGGTAGCTCACGCGGGGCGCCGGCGCGGCACGCTACATGAGATTGGCAACGAGGGCGCTTACGCGAGCAGCTTACGCGCCAATGTCGGCGCAACAGAACTCGTTTTAGTTGCGTCGCTCATATTGCCGACGGGTTTGCGGTGCGGCGCGACCCCCAGGCCCCACCCGCGCGGACCCAGCTTGGGAGGCCCTGGGGCTTGGGGTCTCAAAGGAACCCGACGGCTTCCGAAGGAGGTCACCTAAGACTCCAAGAGGCGGCCCTCTTGCCTTGTTCCGTGCAGGGTTTCGGGAAATTCCGACCCTTTCCTCGCCATTGCTCGGACGTCCATTCCACGTGCATGTTTCGGTTTCGTGCGTTTTTTTTTGCTCGGTGATCAAGGATGCTCCTCAATGGTCCTCGCCGAGCAATGCCAAGTTTCGGGACCAGACTGTCACCCATAGCCATTTCTCCACTGTCCCAAGCGGCGGCGGCGACTTGCCAGAGGCGTCATCGATGCAACAAGTAATTGCACACTAGGCTGTGATAATTCGCCACTTCGAGCCTCACTTGTCGAGGCCGAAGCACGCATTGATTCATTTCGGGTTCGGAGCGGTGGGATCTTCTGCCCAACGCAGAGAGCCACGAAGACTCATGCAAATGGCCTACCAGAACTCCTGCCAGGCAGCGCCACACTACTTCCCGGCCATTGAGGTGGGGACCAGAGGTACCAACACCGTCACCACCGGACCTCTCCCGGGGTGCGTTCTGACGTGAATCCCACCAGCCCTCTGGGCGTAGGTGGTCTAGAGAGCTTTCTTCCAACCCCCTTCACCTTCGGGGAAGGGTGTATCACTTCTCCCCAATAATATTCCCCCCCCCCCGCCATCCCTGTCGAAAAACTCTGCCTCCAAATTTGGAGCATGCGCGGCCAACCCGATGCGCCCTCCCCACCCTCTCAAAAACAAAAACAATGCAAAGTACACTTTTGGGCAAAGTCTTGAGTCATGCTCTTGAGGCCCACGAGCCAGTTAGTTTGTTTTTGACAGGGACGGCGGGGGTGGCAACATATTGCCTGCTGCGCGCCAGGCTACCATCCCAAACAAAACACAAAACGTAATGCACCTCGCTGCTAAATATGGATCACGCGCGGCCATTCCGCGATCACTGCCAAGTGGTTTTTTACAGGGACGGCGGGGGTGGTGGCGTATGGCCTCCTGTGCGCAGGCCCACCAGACACAATGATGGGCATGGCTGTTCGACAAAGATAGTGGGGGCCGACATGGACCCGATGTGTCCTGTCACGTGCGCAAGCGCACCTGACATACGCTGCGCGTGCCCCGAACGTGGCGCACCTGGCGCGGCTGGAGTATGCGGCACACCTGGCGCACGTGGCGCATCTGGCGCACCGTGCGTGCCTGGCACGCTCGGGCCCCATGGGTGCCTGGCGCGCATGGCGCGCCTGGCACGCGTGGCGCACCTCGCCCCAGCTTCGCGCACATGGGGTAGGTTTTGGTTCCCAGTAGCTGTCCATCCAAAGACGGCCGCTGAACCTGCTCAGGCTCGGGTGTTATTGATGTGTTGGGAGGGCAGGTGGGAATGAGCTAGACGGCTTGCTACCTAGGGGGTGTCTTGACCCCTCTCCCTAGCACATCCCCTGGACCTGGAGGCGGGGTTTTGCGAGGCGTTGGAGAGATCAAGATGGCCCAAGATGGCTCCAAGAGGGCCTCAGAGAGCCCAAGATGACCTCCAAGAGGGCTCAAGATCGCCTAAGATGGCTTCAGATGCAAAATGCTCCTAGAGGCCCCAAGACCGCCCCAAGACGGCTCCAAGTGGCCACGGAATCTCCCCAGGAGGCCGCCAAGAGGCCAGAGTCCTTCAAGAACCTAAGGAACATCAATGATGTTTGTTCCAAGAGGGCCCCAATAGAGGCCCAACAGAGCATCAAGACGGCCCAAAGAGCGCCCAAGAGCGCCCCACGAGGGGACCAAGAGGCGATGTTTGGGTCTCACGAGGGGGGTTTGCAATTGGAGTTGCCATCTTGTTTGATCGATCTCCTCCCAGATGGCCCCAAGAGCGCTCCCAAGGCTCCCAAGAGCGCCTCAAGGTCCCCAACAGGCGCCCATGAGGCCCCAGAGGCGCCCAAGAGGCCTCCAGGAGGCTCCCGGGAGACCCCAAAGAGGCCCCAAGAGGCTCCCCGAGGTACCCAAAACGCTCCAAAAGAGGCCCCCGGGACCACCAAGAGGCCCCCAAGACGCTCCAAGAGGCCTCCACCGGGGGACCTTCCTCTGTGTGCTGCCCGCTTCCCTGACCGAGGCAACTCTTCTGGGCATCGTTTCTGGATGGGCTGGTGCATTTTTATCCGTCGCGGCCGCAGGCGAAGGCGAATCCAGCGGCGACAACGAGGAACACCCCAGGAGGCCCAAGCAGGGGATCACGAAGCAAGGATCGTTGGCGGTATGGGTACTGCTTCCTCCTCTGAAGATGGCAAACCGATGGCTCGTCGGCCCGCCTCGCATTTCCGGGCCCTCACAGCGAGGCTGGGCCGAGCGGCCGCGGGAAGGCGCGGACCCGCCGGCCTTCCGCCTGGTCCAGGGCCGCGCTGTCCAGCGAGGCGCCCGCGACGACGCCGGCCGGGTGCGTGAAGTCCAACCCGCGAGGGACCTCTGGCTGCCTGCGAAGCGGGGCCCCTCCCAAACATGCTCGCGTCGTGCAATAAGAAACAGGACGGGACGTGTTCGGCAGTTCTCCAGGGGCCCTCGCCGACCCCTCAGGATGAAAAGCCCGCCCCAGGGAAACGGTCAGGACTCTTCCAGGGGCCCCGCACTGCATAAAACACGGATGTCCAAGCGATGCAATTATTCGCCGAATTCCGTCCGAATTCAGGCCCATAGCCCTCACGGGCCCGAGAATATGGGGCCCCAGTGTGACCGAAAAACGCCTCTGTTTTTCCAATCGTGCCAAACTGCGGATGAAATGTGTAGTTCGTAATCAAAACGTTAGCCGGTACGAAATTTAGTACAACCCACGTCGTGCAATATATGTGGTTCAGCGTTGTAAACAATGTGGTGCCACATACATGGTACAACCCATGTGGGTAACTTTAGGTTTGGTGCGCTACGTGGTACAACCTACATGGTTGAACTTTGCACACGACTTGACAAATGTCAAACAATTGCAAACATCCCACCCACCCACCCGCACCTTGGTTTATAAAACCCATGCGGCGGCGACTGCAGAATGCTTGGCGTTGGTTGGTGCATGTCCGCGTCCGTGCAAGCCCGCGCATGCTCGCGGGCACAACGGCCGGCTAGTTTGGCGCGACCGCTGCAAACGCGGTGGCGCTGACCGCTGGGCACTTCCCCGCGGGCACTTCAGTGCGAGTCGGTGACGTGGACGGGCGCGGTATCATGGCGACGCTGACAGCGGTAAACGCTACCATGCGAGTAGCGATGACAATGGCCATGGTGGCGATGAAAACGGCAAGGCCAGTGACACCGACGATGTTGACCACGCCCGCCGATAACGATGACCATGCCTTCGCGTCAGCGGTGAAGGCTTTTGAAGGAGTTCGACATGCTCGCGCCGCCAGCGCGCGAGAGACGCCCGCGTGGGATTATTTGACACGGGTCGTGCCCCCCCCCAGCACACGCACAAAAGAGTTCGAATGTGTTCGACATGCGACGCGAAGGGCCCGCATAGCAAAATTTGATGAACACGCTGGCCAACAATACTTTCCTGTCAGAACCCGCAAGACCGCAAGCGCGGGATTAGTTTGAAAACGAAGGTTGCCAAGTGACGTGTTTGTTACATGCTGTCGGGGCACCCTTTTTTTAAAACCTCGTCGCAGGGCCAAAAGTGTTTGACGGATTTCGGCATGCGCGCGCGACGACGCGGGCGCGCATGTCGTCACATTTCCTGCAATAAGTGATTATTGCGACATCATGCGCGCAAGGGCGTTTGAAAGGTTTCGACATGCGCGCGAGGGGCCCGTTCGGTAGCATGTTATGAACATGTTGAGAAACAGGGCCTCTCGCAAACTTGCAAGAGCGCGAAGACATGTTATTGCTTTGGAAACCCGTGTTGCGAAACGTTGTGTCTTATATTTTCATGACAACAGATTTTGGAATCCGTACGAAAAGCTTGGTTTTTGAAGGATCTGGGCCTGCGCGCGCGACAACGCGCGCGTGACGGGCATCTCCCCATCTGCTGCGAAAGACTCTTGGCAACTAACTATTTGCGATGAACGACAACGCGCGCATATTTTTTTTGTTAACGGATATGGGGGGGAAACTCTGGCCTGCGTGGGATAGTATGAATTCGCATGTCGGCTGGGATCTGGGGCGGGATCTTGAAACATTGCGATATTAAACATGTACCGTTCACTCCGGGGGGGTAGCTCCCATTCTTTGTTTCGGGAGAGGAGAAGATATGTGGTGCAGCCCATGCAAAATATGCGATATGAGCGACGCGAAGTTGTGCATATATGCGTGAAGTATATGTGGAATGCCTATATGGTCTGTATGCATGGGACACTTCAAGTGGTCAATACTGGTGATGCTATGTCTGTGGTGAGAGTCATGTGGTGCGATGCGCGTTGTGCAGTACATGCGGTGCGAGCTCAAAAAAACAATCTATGAGTCGCGAAATCACCCGAAACACCCACCCACCCGCACCTTGGTTTATAAAACCCATGCGGCGGCGACTGCGAGGAGGGCTTGGCGCTGGTTGGTGCATCTCGGCGGCCGCGCAAGCCCGCGCACGTTCGCGCGCACAACGGCCAGCTAGTTTGGCGCAACCGGCGCGGCCGCGGTGGCGCTGACCGCTGGGCATTTCCCATTGGACTCTTCAGTCCGAGCCGGTAACGTGGGCGGGCGCGGTATCATGGCGCCGCCGACAACGGTAAACACGATTATGGAAGTAGCGATGACGGTGGCGATTGTAGCGATGACGACGGCAAACTCCGGTGACACGGCCGATTTTGATCACGCCCGCAGATAATGATGACGATGCCTTCGCGTCGGCGATGGAGGTTTTGAAAGAGTTCGACATGCGCGCGCAGCCGACGCGCGAGAGACGCTCGCGAGTTGACAAATGCCACCCCCTTGCAAACATCCCACTCAACCACCCGCACCTCGGTTTGCAAAGCCTATGCGGCGGCGGTTGCGATGAGTCATTGGTGTTGGCGGGTGCATCTGTACGGCCGTGCTAGCCCGAGCATGCTCGCGCGCGCAGCGGCCAGCAAGTCTGGCACGACCGACGCGGCCGCGGGGGCGCTGACAGGTGGGTACTTCCCAGCCAGCGCTTCGGTGCGAGTCGGCGACGTGGGCGGGCGTGGTATCATGGCAACGGCGACCAGGGTCGCGAGGTTGATAGTAAAGATGGTGGTGACGATAATGACACAGACGCCGGCAAGGCCACTGACGGCGCCGATGACGGCGTCCTAACGTCGGCGATGAAGGTTTCGGAATGAGCTCGACATGCGCGCGCCGCCAACGCGCGAGAGTGGCCCTCGTGGTGCTATTTGACACGGATCGTGCCCCCCGAGCCCGCGCGCAAGGGCGTTCGAATGATTTCGACATGCGGCGCGAGAAGCCCGCCGTGCAGAATTTAAACAAACATGTTGAATAATCACGGAAGCGAGAGCGCAAGCTTTTTTGAGAACTGGCGCTTATATTCTTCCGTGATGCTCGTTTTTGAAATTCTGACGTGTCCTCAGGTGTCTGAAAAATTTCGGCGTGCGCGCGCGGCGACGCGCGCGCGGACTTCGTCAAATTTATGGTGCAAGGGATTCTTGCGACAGCACGCGCGCAGGGGCGTTCGAACGATTTCGGCATGCGCGCGCGATACACCCGTTTGGCAGCATGTTATGAACATGTTGAAAAACCTGTGGCCGTTGCAAAACAATTGTGGCTATGTGCTTTCGGGGCACTCCGTTTCGAAGGTTTTGGAAGGATTTTGACACGGGCGCGCGACAACGCGCGCCTGTGCCCTTTGTCTTCTTATCATCTGTGATAAACAAGTGTGCGCCCATAGCACGTTCTGCAAAATATGAGGGGGGTTGACACCGGCCTGCCTGGGATGGTACGAATTCATATTTAGGATGGACGAGGAGGCAAAATCAAACATCAATTACAATACAAAAGGGGAGTCGTGAATTACAGGGGGGGTGATCCTATTATTCTGTGTATATATACGTACATGTGATGACATGTACGAAGTGTGAGCTATGTGGTGCAACCTATCTGGGGTAATATATGTAATGTGAGCTATGTTGTGTAAGCTATGTCGCGTAAGCTATGCGGGATAAGCAGCGGCAAGGGAAGGCGGCGACGGCGACAACAAACACGGCGACCGACAGCCAAGCGCTCAATGTCCGGGGAATGACTTCCAATCTCGGTCATGGTTTGGGTCACGCGACGCTCCTGGTAACGATGTAGGGTACTTTTCAATCACATCTTTGCTGCTCGGCCACAAACGTGTTCGGCTGGGCCAGTCGCCATGACAACCCGCCTTGCATCGAGAGAATGACCTCCAGGATCCCATTTCGGACCGTTTCCTCCAAGGCCAGATTGGCTCCCAGCTCGCCCAACACCTATTCGTCACGCGGAGGCCTGCCGAGAAGGTGACTGGCAGCAGGCCCCAAAAAACTTACAAGGTACGAGGAGGAGGAGGAAACACACAACTCCCTAAAAACAAGTTTTCCCAATCTGGGCGCATTTCCGCGACTTCGGCCTCAAAGTCCCAGTCTCGTGATCTGGGGCCACGGATCCCGGCGGGAAACTACCCCCAGGGACGGGGTCGAGATCTCCCTGGGGTGAAGCAGCACAATCCCTTCTTTAGCCCAGACCCCTCGCGTTGTGAAACCACGACGGGCGGTCGTCGCCGACTGTCGGCCGTGCCCCGGAACGAAGAGAACACGGCTCAGGATGGGAAGCTGGTCATGCTGAAGGGGTCCAGATCTCTCAGGGTCCACGCTGCGAGCCAAATCACAACGGCAGGCGAAAGGGGGGGATAGCAAAGGGGGGGGTTGAGAATCAGCTCACGTAGCTGATTTCCCCGGCGCCTCCCGGCGCTGGGAGGCGCCCATGTATCGAGGAATGGGCCCACCGGCGGGGCCGAAACCAGATGCATGCAGCAGATTTCGTAACCCCCCTTTCCCAATCCCCTTCCGTCCGGCCCGAGACTGGGGACACGTAGGGGGCGAAGCTGGCTCATGGGGGGAACAGGGACTTGGAATCGGCGGTACATCGCCGACAGATGGGCGACGTGCCCTCGATAGCGTTGTGGATGCCACGACAAATGGACACCCTAACAGTCCCACCACCGCATTCGACATGTATGAAAAACGTCGGGAAATGCTCTCAACATGTTATACACATGTGTTTTGTTACGGCAGGTTCGTGTCGTGCCGACCCCAGCGTTGGTTTTTGACACCGCAGGGATCGTTCAACCTTGAACGATCGGCCGCTGCCGCAACGTCCGATCGTTCAACATCGACCGATTCTGGGCCGCCGCCGGCGTTCAACCTTGAACGTCCGCGCTGGGGTCGCCGCTGGTCGACACGACGCAGACCTACCGTACATGTTTAGAGCATGTTCAACACCTGCTGTAGACATCTGGGAAGTACCCGGCAACGCGCTCCCTCTCCGTGGATCGCCCTCCACAGCGCTAGCGACACTCCACGCTCCTGGGCGGGGTGGGGGCGCCCAGGCCACCCCCCCGCGAGGCAGGGGCTTGCCCCGTGGCCTCCGGGCCACAGCTCGGGCAGCGGGCGCTGGTCGTTAAAGGCTTAACGACTTCTGCCGTCCTTCGACTCGCGCTGGAGCAGTCCAGAAGTGCTCGAACTTTCCCTGGAGATCTCTGGATTTACCCAGATTTATCTAGATTCACCTGGATTTACCTCGATTTATCTGCATTTACCTGGGTTTATCTGGATCGATTCTCACAAGTCGATTGGCGAAAAGTCGACAAGCCCTAAGGGAGCTGGCTCGGGACGACCCAGGCACGCCCGGGCACGGCCTCGGCGAGGCGCCGCCGCTGGAGGGCATCGGAGGCTGGAACACCGCCGAGGACCAACTGGCCATCGCTCGGACGTCCACTCCCCGTGCTGTTTTCGGTTTCGCGCGTGGTCTTCTCGCAGGATGATCCAGGATGCTCCTTGATAAGCCCCGCCGAGAAGAAGTGCACACGTCCGAGCGATACCAAGCCAATGAAAACGTCCGAAGACCGCTGGAACCCAGCGAATCGAGCCGACGACGAGCAGACAAAGAGACCCGGACCTCCGACCACACAGGTCCCAGATCCGGGTCCGGTTTGTCGGCCCGGGTCCGCTTTTATCTGTCCTGGGGCCCGACGAAGGCCTCCGGAGGCCGGAAACTGCTCAAGAACCTCCAATCGGAATTTTGACCACGACGCGAGCTTGTCTGGGATCGATACATCTCCCCCGTGAACCTACGATCCACACACACACACACACGGGACACCCTCGACAAGGCGCATCTGATGGACCCCACCCTGGCCTCGAAAGCTTTTTGAAATTTTTGCGCTAACGACAGAAACCCGTCACTCGCGATAGGGTTATTACGCAAAGAAACACTAACGCTTGGGCGGGGCGGGGCTCGTCGGAGCGGAGGCGCCCTGCGATCGCCATGATGTACGCGCGAGCTCAAACATGTGGCCGAGGGGGGATCCAGCCTCTCCCCCCTACGTGCTATCTAGACGGGGTCGGAGGATCGCCACTGCATCGGCGATGCATCGGTGATACATCGGCGATGCGCCCGCGACGTCGACGATGAATCGGCGCCATCGGCGTGGAAGAAATCGGGCTCCACGTCGAGCCGCATCGCAAATGCATCCGCGATGCGGCGCGATCCTCCGATCCTATCTACACGGACCCCATCTAGGAGGCCTAGAGTGCCATCGTTACGGTCACCCTGCGGGGAGGGGGGGACCGGGAAAAGACCGATGACGCGCAATCGGATAAAACAAGACAAGATCCAACAAACTATAAGCGTTGCCGCTGAGCTGAGCCAGAGCTCGCAAAAACTGTGAAGAACCTACGTCGTGATTGTTTTCACGACGCGAGCACGTCTGGGGTCAAAACACGATGCGTACCCCCTCTGAGCCAATCCCCTGGTGGCTTCCGGGTCACAACTCGGGATTGTGGCGGCCGTTCGGAACGATCTGGGCACCCTCGGACGCCCTCGACCAGGCGCATGTGATCTGATGGAGACCACCCTGGGCCTCGAAGACTTTCGAAAACTTCCGAAACTTTCTGGCAGCGGCCAAAAACTTCCCGTCGTGTTTTAGTCAGTGCGTTGCCCCTGCGAGCATGAGGGGGACCAAAAAAAAGAGGAGGAGGACATGCGCAAATCCCCCCAAAATCTGCCCCCGATCCCCGCGTGGGGTCGAAACGGACCTGCTCTTCGAGCCGCGTCCAGCCGTGGCGACGAGAGGGGGCCCTCGTCCGTCCCAAAGCATAGCCTTGTTCGACTCGATTCGTCGGTGGCAAACCATGGGAGCCTCCCATACCATCTTGTTGGCCTTGGCGAATCCACGCGAACCGACGCTCATCGGCGCTAGCCGACGCTAGCCGACGATAGCCAGACGCTAACCCGACGCTGACCGACGCGCCCTCCTCGCTGAACAGACACTTGCGCACGCTGAAAGACGCCACTGCGGAGGCCCGCGTAACTGCCACGGCCTGCTTCCGAAAGGTCCAGGGTCGAGGCACCCCCCTCCTCCTCCTCCTCCTCCTCCTCCTCCTCCTCCTCCTCCTCCTCCTCCTCCTCCTCCTCCTCCTTGCCCCTGCGAGCCTGGGGTACTCCCGCCGGCCGCCGCGGGCGCGCGCCTCCTCCATCGCCTGCGGGCCGGGGGCTGCAGGCGGGGCGGCCCCAGGGCCCCGAAGGCAGTGGAGCTCGCGCTCCGCGCCGCGCGATGGGCGCGACGAACTTCGCGCGCTCTGGGGCGGCGACGCCCAAAGCATACCTCCACCAGCCATCGACCCCCCTGCATCAATCCATGGGCGGCGGGGGCTGGGCTCGGATTGCGCCGCGTGCTCGACGCAGTCCGATGCCCAACCCCGCCGCCCGTCGGACTTCGCGCCGAACTCTCGCGCCGCCCCCCAAGGGGGAGAGGAGGACGGCGAGGGGGGGGGAGATGGGGAACGAGGACAAGGGAGCTGACCACGAAGCGCGGATAACTTCGCGACCTCGCGCTCCCCGGGGGAACGATCTGATCTGATCTGATAGCATACCTTAGGTGCCAGCGTTGTCGACTTGTCTTGCTCGGGGGTGCTCTTATTCGCGACGACTGCTGTTCAAAAGCGCTAACCTGTGAGGCTTTATAGGCCTTGAGGTTGGCTCTGGCACGGTGAACCTGGTTCGCTGGGAGGAGGGCGCGCATGCCATGCTCCACGCACCAGGGCCGCGGCTATGGCCTCGAGATGGGGCGAGCCTGGCCCCTGCAGCCACCGACGCATGAAGTAGCAAGGGACAAGAGCAATTAAGAACGAGTGGCCTTCTCCTGCGCCATTCGAAGAACATGCTTACTGCAGAAAAGCTGTTCATACTGGTGACGCCCAGGGAACTTTCAGAGGGGAACCAACAATTCGGCAACCAGGTGAGCATTCGAAGGAGGTTTTGGAGGCCTCGAAAGAGGAGGGGGCTGAACAGAATAGGCGGCTTCTCGCTGGCTCAGGTCATTCGGAGAGGACTCAGAGGAGGAGCCGAGGGCAGGAAAGACCTAGGGACTTCGCGCAGGCTCGGATCGTTCGGAAGGGGATTCGGAAACCTCGAAGGAAGGAGAGGCTGAACGGAATTAGAGGCGGCTTCACTCGGGCTAAGATCATGGGAGTTTGGCGGCAGCCTGTTCTGCATATCCTTCCCCTTCACCTGCGAAAGAACACTTGCCCGTTCAGCGGCAGTCCACGGGGCGCTTGCGCCCGGAAGCTCTGGCCCCGAACTGTCGTCAACAACCACGACGTCATTCACATTCATGCTCACATTGTCGTCGCCCACAACATTCACTTGAGAAAAGTCTCGAGCCAATGTTGAATTTCGCGCTCCATATACGCAGCCGGGGCCCTGTCGAACTGGCGCTTGACGCGGGGGATCTGGCATCCGACCGCTCCGCCTAGAGTCGTCGAGCCCTTCAGTGGACCTCCCAGCGCCCAGGTGATCGGCGGGCCCAGTATATGACATTCGCCCTGCTCCTTAACATGCGCCGCGTAGGCGACGGCATGCTCGCTCATCTGCGCGACGGTCACGCGGTCCGCTGGCGCGATGAAGGCATTGGGCACCGCGCCTGCGATGCCCCGCGGTTGCTGAGATATATTCATGATCTGTTTCATCGGCAAGTAGAGTAGTTTCTTCGTAGGGTCGTTCATCGCTTGTTTGAAAGCGGCCGAGACCTCGGCTGCGCCATCCTCGTCGCCCGGTCTGGCCTGCGCGGCCTCGCCCCCCCCCCCCCCCTCCGGTCGCCAGAGCCCCCCCTCGCGCCTCCTTCCGGGAGCGCGGGCTTGGCGGGGCACTGGGAGAAGATGGGGGTAATCAAGCTCGCGAAGATGCCGATGCAGAAACAGACACGTTTCAAAGTCTACGGAGTCGCTCTCTGGGCACACCGGGCACTTCCATTCGGGCAAGACCTCCAGCTCCCAAGACATCTGAGCTCTTCCCACAAAAGACCTGCCATGCCGTTGCGAATTATTCGAATGCCTGCGGGCGTTGTGAACGTCTCGAACTACACTAAGACAATTCGGACATTGATGAGTTTCCACTCAACTATGTGGAATAAATGCCACCATGTGCCAGTTCGTTCTGGTGCCCCGCTAGAGCCCTGCGGGTGTCGAATTCAAAGCCGCAGGGGGGGCCCGTCGGAGTTCTCTATTATACATGTAGAGGCATGTGCGCTCTGTTATTCTCGGTGGTGGGTATCGGGAAATAGAGCGCGCCATTTACCATTGCCAACAAAGGCTGACGCGCGGAGAAGAGAGGGGTCGAACTTCAGGAACTCATGGGAGGACTCGGAGTCGGGGTTCAAGATTTCACGCCAAGAACATCCCACGTCGTCCCAGATCTGAAGGAAACTCTCGGCCCCACGGATCCCTCAGTAAAGTTGCGGAAGTTCATCGAACAGTGTCGCCCCGCGGGTTCGCGTTGCTGACTGTCTTCCGACAGGGCTGCAGCGTGGGGCCCCCGCCCGCCAGGTGGCCAAACATTGCAGCCATCGTCTGGCAGTGGGCGCGCCGATGCTTCAGCATGCTCTGCGGCCACGTGAGGCGTCGCACGGCGAGCTCACTCACCACGCGCTGGTAAGATCCACCGTATGTGAAGGATCTCTGACTGACGAAGAGGGCGAGCGCGAGCGCCGTCGCAGGAAGTGGCACCAGGACCCATCAACACCTTGAGATACGTCACGACAGACGCATAAAATCGTCTGTATCTAGACAGAGTCATGGAGAAAACTTGTAGCCCCGCGATTCCATTCTCTACCACGAAGCCCAAGAACAGTTCTCGTACGAGACGGTGCAATCCTCGCTCGTGCCAGCGAAGTCCGATCACTGACCAACCCGCGTGCGTCGCGCGGATGCGGAAATCTAACTCCGCCGAGCTAACGTCCTTCATGTGGTGCCTAGCTCCTAAATGTCGGGCGCAACATCCACAGGCCCCGCAGTCCTCGGGGCATTGAACCTGGAGACGTCTGTTTGATCGATCGGACCCGAGACCGGGCATGTGTTTTTTCCTCTATTGTTTTTGCACGTCCTGGCGAGAATGCCACGTCTCCAAGGAGTTACTCATCTTTTCCATCGCCTACCTTGATAGCCTCAAGAGCGCCCGAGACAGCAGAACCTGCCAAAACTAACGTCGAAACAAATCGTCCGCGCAAGCGGCCGTGGAGCAATCCAGGGTCGGGGTCCCGAAGGCGCTGTAGACGTCGATGGGGGCCCCGTCTACCTCGCAGATCTCGCTGCAGCACCAATTACAAACACCCGCGAACAGGCGCGGCATTTCACAGGACCCGTAAAATCCCCCGTATTCGTTGTCAGGAAGGCTTCAAACTTGTTGTCGACGGGTATTTTTGCAGCGCTGTTGATCAGTCGCTGTTGCGCAAAATCTGACACGTCTTCTCGAAACATCTCCGCAAACTGGGCCATCAGGTCCTGTGTCAAGGGGCAGCTATACGCACTTGTAATATCATGTACTTCACAAGCGTGGAGAAGCCGCAGCCGTCGCATCGACCAGCTATTTCGCAACTGTACAAGAATCGCGCCTCGGCGGCGGCTGTGTCTAATAATGCAATGCCAAGGTCCTGGAAAAGATGTGTCATAATGTCCGTCCTTGTCGCCATGGGCGCACAGAACTGCATGCAGTACTTTCCAGAAAACATCAGAGAGATGAACCATGCGTTGGCTCTGTATCCTTCGGTTGTCACTTGCCTTACCCATTAGTATTCCGTAACCGAGAACTTCGAGGGAAGCGGGCCGCTTTAGATCGATCGAATCACTATTTTCTCAAATTCTTGTCTCGCCAGAGTCATTTTTTGTAGATCGCAAAATATTGCCCCTACCATCGAGCGATCGTCCATGCAAATTGTCATCTTCTTCGTCGTTGGCAATGCACGTCGTCGGTCCGCAGAGTACATGTCGTAACCCAGGCCAAAAAGGGGATTGCGTTGCTTCGACAGCTGCCTGGCTCGAGGGTCATTCGGGCGAGTTCCGAAGGCACACTCCATGACGGACCTACCCGTCGTCGGCGTGCCTTTCGAAGTCGCCATGTCGTGTTCTGAATCATAACGTCAGCAGCCAATTCCATTCTGAACTTCCTGATGCTAACAATCGCCTCTTCACGTAGGAAAGCCTTCAGCATATGCGGTAAATCGGGAGTATGTTCTGCCTCCATCCCGCCTTCAGCTCCTGGTTTGGAGATGTGGCCTTCCAGCTCTTCTAAGGCCGGGCGGTAGGAGGTGATGGTGTTGTAGCGCTGGTTCTTTACGCCATGGAGCGGCCAGAGAGAAGACGAGCCAATCTGTGAACTTCAGCGTGTTGGCCTGCAGCACATGCCTCTCGAAGTTCTTGCTGAAGTCGGCTCCGATGGAAGGCACGGCGCCGCCTGGCCCACTGGCGTAGTCGGAAGTGAATCCTCGTGATGCTAGTGAATACCTCTAGGTTGGTGTCGACGTAAACACCTGTCTGACCATAAAGAGAAAACAAACAAACAGCTGCCTCCTCGGGATGTGTTCGTCGTTGCCGAACCAGCTCCAATCGACGTTGTTGGAGGCGTCGCTCTGCTGTGTCGGCTCTGCGCGGAGTAACGCCGAAGTGCTTGAGACCGATCCGTTGCACCTCCTCGGCCCGAGAATCATAATGGTGATCAGTGTGATGGTGGGATTCCCTGCGCTCGGTAAAATTCGATGATCGGCCCTGCATGGTTTGCTCGAGGTCCCTATGGAATGCTCTCCTACCAGATCCTGTTCGGAAAGATTCCGCAAGCTTCGTGTGGTCCCAGCGCGGCTTGTCATCACGGGGAATGAGCACGGGGCTCTCATGTAGGAGCTCCAGAATCACAGGGAGGTGGTCCCGAGGGGCGCTTTTCGGGATCAGTTGTAGAAGGCGGCCAACTCTCCAATCAACTCGGCATTGTCTGACTCGGGTTGGTCCTGGCATCGTCAGGATATCACAATCCAGTTCAGTACAAATCTCTGCAGCACGACCACTGGAGCATAGAGAGAGAGAGGGCTGTACACTGCAACTCGAAGAAGGGTGCTCATCGCCACCAGTCCCCCGCAGAAGCTCGCGACATGCATCAGCGGCCGAACATGGCAAGCCTGAGGTGCCGACCGCTGGGGGATCGTCAGTCTTGGAATCGCCTCGACGTTCATTATGTGGTGTGTGTCTGAGGCTCCAGGGGAACGAGGAGGAGGAAGAGGAGGAGGAAGAGGATAATGAAGAGGAGGAGGAGGGGGAACAAAGAGGAGAGGAGGAGACCGCGAACTGCGAAGCGCGCATCCCTTGGCGCCCTCGTGGCGGCCTTTAGGGGCGAGCAGTGGTCCCTGGTGTGAGGCCACGAGAAACTGCGCAGGCGGGGGGGAGGGGGGGCAGCACGTCTTATAAGGCAACTGCTGGGAGCTTACACATTCCATTGCAGTGTTTCGCCAGAGGGTTCGACTAGACTTGAATCGAGCATGTCCTCCTACAGGCGGATTCTGGACGGAAGCGTTACGCATGGTCAATACATCTTCCAAAATCGTCACAAATAGTCGAAACATCGTCCCCTGACTGATTCTTGATTATTTTTGAATAATCCTCAGTTCGAGGGACAGGCCCGACTGAAGACTAGACACAGTCAGGGGCCCTTGAGGAGTCACTGAGGGGGGGACCGCGGGAGCCGCGGGACCGCCCCCCGAGACCGCCCGGTCCTCTGGAGAAGCTCTGGCGGCGACTCCGCCCGAGACCTCCTCCTGAGACTTCCTCTCTCGCCTCTCGCCTCCCCCTCGCCAGTCTCCTGAGACTCTCTGAGGCCTCCTCCTGCTTCTCACAAGAAGCCCCCTCCTCGCGCCACTTCCTCGTGCTTGGACGCCCGAAACAAGTACGGGAACAAAAAGGTACAGCGCTCAACAACACATGTTGTCCAATGCCGACAGCGGCCGCTGTCGGTGAGGCGGCCTTAAGCTGTCTCGGATGGACAAGGCCCGCGGCGGCGCCGACAGCGAGCCCTGCTCAAAATGAACAGAACACTGCTGTCGATCATTGTGCCCAATCTTTCCGTGCCCACTTCGGACGCCCGGTCGGCCGCGCCGCCTAGATTCGACGGTGGACAAACCTCCCTATAGCAAACCTCCCTGCAGTGAAAAAAATGGCCTGGAACCGAAACCGACGGACCTGGACCCGCAAAAAGGACGGCCGCGACGCCCTCTCGCGAATCGCAAACAGCCACTTCGCTGATCGACGTGTCCGGGTAGGAGGACTATCAACCTCCGAATTTCGATCGCCCCCGTCTTGGGAGTCCCGAAACGGTGCGGTGAAAGACCGTGCGGTGACCTCGAAACCCTCCAAGACCTCACCGCACGGTCCGTCAGCGCACGGTTTTGGGACCTCGGAGGCCCCAATCGCCCGAGACGTCCTTGGAAAACGACCCGAGTCCCAAAACCGTGCGGTGACCCCGAATCCCCACCGACTCACCGCACGGTGTGGTCACCGCCCCGTTTGGGGCCCCCCGACCGTCGCGCGCGCCGCCCAAATCCGGCCCGGGGCCGCCCCCGAGAAGCCGCGCGCAGGCCGCTGGCCTCCAGCCGCGCGCAGAACGCCGCGTAGCCGCTCGCCGAGCCGTCGTCCGGGAGCCCGCCGGCGGCCGGCGCCGCGGGCACCTGTGATTATTGAAGGAAAATTGGGACACACAAATAAATACACACAAATAAAAATATCCCCCATATTTCCCCATATTTTCTGGGTGTTTGTCTTCCCCCCCACTTCCCATATTTTCCCATATTTTCTGGGGAATCGAAGATTAATTGTGTCTGTGTGTTTCTTTTCCTCCTGAATTATATGCGGCCGCGTGGAGCGCGACCCCAAAGCAAAACACTGGGCGCGAACTGATGCGGGGGCGATAAGTGGAAGGAAGGAAGGGGTGATAAGTGGGAGGGAGGGGGTGATAAATGGAAGGAAGGAAGGAAGGAAGGAAGGAAGGAAGGAAGGAAGGAAGGAAGGAAGGGGTGATAAATGGAATGCGAATCATTATTTTAGGTGGTGATAAATGGAAGGAAGAAGCGCTACATGGGGGGCGCGCACGGGACTCTTACAGATCGATCCGCGGCTGCCTGGAGCGGCCCCTGACCAAAAAATGTGGCGCGACATTAGTGGGGGGCGATCAATGATTACCAGCCTGGAACATATTGGGCATCTCCTTCCTGATCACGATGCCAATCTTAGGGATTCCCTCATTTCTTGAGGGCGCATCCCTAAGATTGTCATCGCTAGGGATAGGGATACGTCCGAGGCTGGTCAAATGAGGGGGGGGGGCACAAAGGTGCCCTTTTTTCGTGCCGAAAGGCCCCCTGCTGCGCCCGAACGGGCCCCTTCAGGGGCCCTCGAGGGCCCCTCTTCGGCAGCCCTCGCTGCCCCCCCCTCCATTCATCTCCCCCCAATGTCCAGCTCGACAAATAGCGTGGCTGACATGGCTCTCTTTGCGTGGCAAGCGACCCCTGCGAACCAAACAAACATGACCCCAGACATCAGGCGTCTCGAAACAAAACAAGACCAGGGCTGTTTATAGCGTTCGGCCTCTCGGGGCCCTTACTGAGCCTCGGGACCGTCCAAAAACCGCTCGGGATGAAAAGACCGGGCGGGGAGAAAGGTCGAGAGATCGAGGGCCGTGTCTCAAATCTCGACGCCGGATAGCTGGGATCGACCCCTGACCCAAAAACCATGACTGCCCATGCTGGACATATAAGTTGACAACTCCCTGCCGCTGTCCTACTAAACACAAGGCAAAATCCACACCGCAGAAAGGGGGGAGGGGAAAGGGCTTGCCACTTCTTCCACGGAAACCTGGCCCCGAGATGTGGGCGCCGCGGTCGCCGCGGCGACCTCCCAAACCAACCCGGAGGCTTTTGGTTCGGGGTAGGAATGTCAGGCAACGATTTTTGAAGCGGCGCGCCCGGGGTTGGGCGTCAGGCCCAGACTGTCTGGGGTTACACAAAATCACCACGGATGGTATTTTGGCTCTGGGACAACACGGCGGACGACGAACAAAACACGACTGGCGATACAAAAAACACGACCACGACGACCAAAAACACGACGGAAGACGAACAAAAGCATGACGAGAAAAACACGACGGAAGGACCCCGGGACCGTCAGAAAGCGACCCCGCGGGACCATCACAAGCCAGCCCGCAAAACCACGAAGATGGGTCCCGCGAGGAGCAGTGGCAGCGGAGCCACGGCTCGGGATGAATAACGGGCCACGGGGCCGTCGAAAGACTCGATCTACGATGCATGCTTCCACCGGGGATGCTGAAGTTCGGCCCCGCCGCTCCCCACCGCTGACCACAACTGTCGTGACCGGGGATAGTCATGAGATCATGGGGATCGTGGGAACTGGGGGGGTGCTTTATTATCCGGGGCACGCGGTTACCGGCAGTGGGGGAGAGGGTCGGGGCAGCAGAGAAAGACATCAAGACATCGCATCTCTGGGGCAAGGGCGCGGCCTTCCCCAAGAGTGGAGCGCTGCGCTGCCCCCGGCTGGCGCGGAGGGGGCCCGGCTCTCCGAAGGCTTCCCTCGAGAGCTTCCCCTCGATCTCAGCCTCCAGGGCCCACCATCGGGCCCCGAGACCGTCGGGAACAAAACCGGTGCGAAAAATGCGAGATGGGGATTTATCCGTATCCACCGCCAGGGAACTGACGTCCTGGGGACCCAGCGGGCGGTGGGTGTGGATCTATTTTTGCCACCCGGTGCCCGAATAGATGGTCATGTCCACCGCCTCTCGAGGCCTCCGAAAATCGATCCCCCAGGCGGTGGTTAGGTACAAGTTCCCTCCTCGGAAAAAAGACTGGCCCTGCAGTGAAGCGGTCGGCACCTTCTTGGGGCCACGGCGTGAGCACAAGACATCAACATCGGCGAATGTCTGCGGTTGGCGCGAAGGCGCGGCCTACCGTGAGCTCGGGCGTAGCGTTTTGCTTCACACCAGGCGTTGTGTCCGCTCGCTGGGCCCCAGGAGCATCGTAAACCGATCCCGCTCGAGGAATGCCGCAGAAGAATTTAGGTCTATGGCCTAGGGCTCGGGCCGCCATTTGTCGCAGCGTTGGAGCTGAGGGTTCCCTGTAGAGGGCTCCTCTGAAGACCTCCTGGTTCCTACAGGAAGGTATCTGCAAGGCCTCCAGGAGTGGGCCTCTGATGGAGGAGAACACAACCACGTGAGCATCGAGATTCGTAGCTCCGCGTGGACTTCCTGGATCGGCGCTGGATCCCCCTGGGAGGGCGCCTCCCGCGCGCCAGGAAGGGAGGGGGCTCCGGCGCAGACGCGAGACCTCCGCGCGGACCTGGACAAGCAACTACATTGATGGGCCTGTTTTCCACCACCACCACCATAAGTTGGAGGGGGGGGAGGAGGAGGAGGAGGAGGAGGAGGAGGAGGAGGAGGAGGAGGAGAGGAGGAGGAGGAGGAGGAGGAGGGAGGAGGAGGAGGCTTATGGTGGTGGTGGTGGAAAAACAAGCCCATCATACATGCCCGTGCGGCCTGCTGCACTCCGCACCGACTCCACAGCCCCCCCCCCCCCGCCTTCCACTCGAGGCCCCCCCCCCCCGGGCCTCTCGGAGCGCCCCCCCCCCCCCGGCACGCCGCACCCCTGCCGCGGGCTCGGTCGGCACCGCACCCCGAGAGGCCTCAGAACCGGGCCGAGCGCCGGAGGGGGCGCCAGATCGGGCCGCGCGGGCATCTGACTACCTACCAGACCACCCCAACCCAACCCGAAGACCCGAATTTGACCCGAATTTCGGGTTGGGGGGGGGTACGGATACCACGTGTTTTTTCAACGTTCCCCGACCCCCCCCCCACTGGAAACCGAGGATAAATTTGGGCCTTCGGGTTGGGTTGGGGTGGTTTGGTGGGTGGTGATGCACGGCATCGCTCGTGCAGGCGTGGGGCAGCGCCGGACCGCTGGAATGCTGGAACCCGATCGGGTCGGGTCGGCCGAAGTCGGCATCGGACCGGGCCGAAGCGGGATGGGCCCCGGGAAACGGGAGGAGAAGTCGGGTCGGGCGAAAGGGGGGGATAGCAAAGGGGGGGTTTGAGAATCAGCTCACGTAGCTGATTTTCCCAGCGCCTCCTGGCGCTGGGAGGCGCCCATGTATCGAGGGATGGGCCCGGCGGCGGGGACGAAACCAGCTGCATGCAGCAAATTTCGTAACCCCCCCTTTCCCAATCCCCCCCTTTCGCCCGGCCCGAAGAAGGCAGGAAGAGGAAGAGGTGGAAGGTCTTGACCGCGTCGCCTGTATACGATGAGGGCTACAAGGGCCTCCCCTCTCGCGCCATGCCCCCTGTGGCCCGTAGGATGTGTGCAGGAAGTCCAAGTTCGAGGCGTGCCTCCTCCTCGTCCTCCCCCTCCCTCTCTCCTCTCCATCCTCGTCCCCCTTCCTCCTCCTCCCGCTCACACCCAGACATCCCGACTATATGTTTGTTTCAAGGCGCGACCCCAGAAGTCTCCGACCCCCTCCCCTCGGCAAATGGTTCCGTTGCGTGTTCCCCGACGGGTCCTGAGGGAAACGGGGAAACGGGCCCTGGTCTTATGTCGGGCCTGTCCCCCTACAGGAGGATTTTCGACGAACAAAAACCATGTACCCTAAAAGATGCCCCAAAATGTTGAAAATTAGCCTGGCGAAAGACCCAACCATATGCAGTTGAGAGTACCGCAATTGTGAATATCTTCTTCGGTGGCGCTCCCTATGGGGCCACGAGCCGTATGAGGGGTGTGCCGAAATGCGTGGCAGTGTACACAACACGAACGAAGACGATAGGTCCGAATATGAAAGCTTGAGCGCGTGCGAGTCGGATCGCGAGCGAGTCTGATTATGAATGAATCTGCGCGCGATTGATTCTATTCGCATGAATGCGTGCATGGATACGCCCAGTGTAAATGTATGTATACGACTGTGAACAGTTTGGGTCTGCGTGACTCTCGGTACTCGTGACTCTGAGCGTCGCCTCTGCAGGGGGCTTCCCTGGGAACCCCGACGGCAGCGCCCGCGCGCCGCGACGCCCATGTCGGCACGCCACACACCTGGTGTGCGGGACGCATGCGGACGGCAGCACTGGGGCCTTCGGTGGAGCTCCCTGTGGGGCCACGAAACGTGTGAGGGGTGTGCCGAAATGGGTGTGCGGGACGCATGCGGACGGCAGCCATGGGGCCTTCGGTGGAGCTCCCTATGGGGCCACGAAACGTGTGAGGGGTGTGCCGAAATGGGTGTGCGGGACGCATGCGGACGGCAGCACTGGGGCCTTCGGTGGAGCTCCCTGTGGGGCCACGAAACGTGTGAGGGGTGTGCCGAAATGGGTGTGCGGGACGCATGCGGACGGCAGCCATGGGGCCTTCGGTGGAGCTCCCTGTGGGGCCACGAAACGTGTGAGGGGTGTGCCGAAATGGGTGTGCGGGACGCATGGCAGAGGCCTTCGGTGTACGAAATGGGTGTGCGGGACGCATGCGGACGGCAGCACTGGGGCCTTCGGTGGAGCTCCCTGTGGGGCCACGAAACGTGTGAGGGGTGTGCCGAAATGGGTGTGCGGGACGCATGCGGACGGCAGCCATGGGGCCTTCGGTGGAGCTCCCTATGGGGCCACGAAACGTGTGAGGGGTGTGCCGAAATGGGTGTGCGGGACGCATGCGGACGGCAGCACTGGGGCCTTCGGTGGAGCTCCCTGTGGGGCCACGAAACGTGTGAGGGGTGTGCCGAAATGGGTGTGCGGGACGCATGCGGACGGCAGCCATGGGGCCTTCGGTGGAGCTCCCTATGGGGCCACGAAACGTGTGAGGGGTGTGCCGAAATGGGTGTGCGGGACGCATGCGGACGGCAGCACTGGGGCCTTCGGTGGAGCTCCCTGTGGGGCCACGAAACGTGTGAGGGGTGTGCCGAAATGGGTGTGCGGGACGCATGCGGACGGCAGCCATGGGGCCTTCGGTGGAGCTCCCTATGGGGCCACGAAACGTGTGAGGGGTGTGCCGAAATGGGTGTGCGGGACGCATGCGGACGGCAGCCTGGGGCCTTCGGTGGAGCTCCCTATGGGGCCACGAAACGTGTGAGGGGTGTGCCGAAATGGGTGTGCGGGACGCATGCGGACGGCAGCCATGGGGCCTTCGGTGGAGCTCCCTGTGGGGCCACGAAACGTGTGAGGGGTGTGCCGAAATGGGTGTGCGGGACGCATGCGGACGGCAGCACTGGGGCCTTCGGTGGAGCTCCCTGTGGGGCCACGAAACGTGTGAGGGGTGTGCCGAAATGGGTGTGCGGGACGCATGCGGACGGCAGCCATGGGGCCTTCGGTGGAGCTCCCTGTGGGGCCACGAAACGTGTGAGGGGTGTGCCGGGGTGTGCGGGACGCATGCGGACGGCAGCACTGGGGCCTTCGGTGGAGCTCCCTGTGGGGCCACGAAACGTGTGAGGGGTGTGCCGAAATGGGTGTGCGGGACGCATGCGGACGGCAGCCATGGGGCCTTCGGTGGAGCTCCCTATGGGGCCACGAAACGTGTGAGGGGTGTGCCGAAATGGGTGTGCGGGACGCATGCGGACGGCGGAGGAGAGGAGAGAGGAGGAGAGGAGGTGGGACGCGGGGCGCTGTCTCTTCAAAACGAGGACCCAACACCACAGGATGGTTGGGAACAAAAACTCAAACAAATAGTCCCCAACCTATTTTGGGAGTATTTTGGAGCATTTTTGAGGTATTTCTTATTTTTCGTCGAAAAGCTCCCTGTAGGGGGACAGGCCCGACTGAACCCTGGTCCCTGGGGCCTCCCCCCCTGGTCGTCCTGGGTCGTCTTCTTTGGCAGTCCCGGGGCCTGTGAGGGACCCCGAGAGCCCGAAACCGGGCGAAAAACCTCAGGCGCCCTTTCCCTCAGGACCCGTGCCCCCCACGGCGAAGGGAGGGAGGGAGGGAGCGAGGGAGGGAAGGGAAGGGAGGGAGGGAGGGAGGGAGGGAAGGGAAGGGAGGGAGGGAGGGAGGGAGGGAAGGGAGGGAGGGAGGGGAGAGAGGGAGGGAGGGAGGGAGGGAGGGAGGGCGGGGAGGGGGGAAGGGAGGGAGGGGGGGGGAGGCAAGGAAGGGAGATCATGGGACAGCCCTGCGCGTGCGCGCCGCCGGCGCCTTGCCCGCGCCGCCGGGCGTGCCGCCCCTCCGCGCGCAGAGGAGGCCGGCAGCGGCCGCGCCGAGCGCGGCGGCGGCGGCCAGCGCGGCGAGGACGAGGGCGCGCTGGACGCCGCACCCTTCAGGGCCCCGTCCTCCTCCTCCTCCTCCTCCTCCTCCGCATCCTCCTCCTCCTCCTCCTCCTCCTCAACCTCGATGATGATATTGGACGCTCCTCCTCCTCCTCCTCCTCCTCCTCCTCCTCCTCCTCCTCCTCCTCAACCTCGATGATGATATTGGACGCTCCTCCTCCTCCTTCAGGGCCCCGTAAACCCGGACACGCTAAACCCGGACACCCAACATCCCTCGAAGCCAAGTTTTCCAGACGGCAGCCCGAACAAAATAGGGCACTGCAGCGCTTCCAAAATAGACCCGGACACAGGCCCTGAAAGCCTGTAGAGACCCCGCTAGACCCGGACACATGCCCGAATCCTGCAGTGCAACAAACAAAAAATGCACAGGTGCTGAAAAATGTGCCTTTGCAGGAAAAGGTGTCGTTTCCTTGGTTTCCCGTGTCCTGGTTTATCTGTGTCCTGGTCACTGGGGGCCCGCACCCTGGGGGACGAGGCGCGGCCGGAGCGGGCAGAAACTGACGCTGATTCTCGATCGTCGATCCCCGATCATCGATCCTCGACCCTCCTCCTTCTTCTTCTCCTCCTCCTCCTCCTCCTCCTCCTCCTCCTCTTCGCTCCTCCTCATCGCTCCTCCTCCTCCTCCTCCTCATCGCTCCTCCTCCTCCTCCTCCTCCCCCTCCTCCTCCTCAACCTCGATGATGATATTGGACGCTCCTCCTCCTCCTCCTCCTCATCATCATCATCAGCATCATCATCATCATCAGCATCATCAGTATCATCAGCATAATCATAATCAGCATCATCACCATCATCATCAGCATCAGCATCATCATCAGCATCAGCATCATCATCAGCAGCATCATCAACTCCTCCTGCAGCCTCCTCTTTTTTCTGGTCGATGCTGATCTGGAGGCACGGCCGAAGTGGGCACGGCGCGTTCGTGTCGTGACGACCCTGGCATTGGCCTCTGACACCGCGTGGATCGTTCAACCTTCAACGATCCGGACCTCTTCGATCGCCAGATCGTTCCAGGTGTGCTGATTCTGGGCCACTGGCAGCGTTCATTGTTGAACGCCTGCGGCGGAGTCGCCGCCGCGTGGTCGCGACCCGAAACGGGTGCGGCAATGACGGGAACGAAGACCGACGGCAGTTCCGTGCCCACCTCGGCGGGGTCGGACAACGAGGGGAAAAAGATAACACACTTGCCCACATGGCGTATGTCCCCGGCGCCCTCTCGGCGCCGAAAAGGGGAAGGGGGTGCGTAATTAACACAGCGGGGGGTCGTGAATCGGCTCTCGTGGCTGGTTCTTCCGGCGCCTCCTGGCGTCGGAAGCGTCAATGCACCAAGGAACTCGGCCCGCGGGCTGGGCCGAAGCCAGCTGCACGCAGCAGATCTCGCACCGATGCCGCTACTCCCTGGGCCTGTCGAGGGGCGCATGCTGACGAGGATCTCGAGGAGAATTCAGCTGTGACGACGAGGAAAGAGGGAGGAGCAGCGGTAATCATCGGTCAGAGGTGCTCGAACGGACTTACACCATCCCTGGGTGTGTGGGTGAAAGGGGGTAAGTACCGTGGCCCGGCTTCTGCTTGGTGTTTTTTTTGGTCGTTGGTTGTTGGTTGTGTGTTTGTGTGTTGATCTTGGTGTTGCTGCTGCTGCTGTTGTTGCAATAGTTGTTGTATTCTCATTTCTAATGGTAGTTGTTGTTGATCCTCCCTCCAAGGAGACCTTTGCATTTCTCAATTAAAATGTTTCCCTGGGCACACACCTATTCTTTACCAAGGATAACTGGGTGTCTAAACTGACTTGCTTGGCCCCGAACTACAACACGAACGGCTCCCACCCTATACTTCCTCACAATGTATCCCCAAATCGCGCTCTCGCGCGGGATTTCCTCACACTGTACAGCAGGATTCGCGCTCTCGCGTGGGAGGTCCTCTAAAATTTATTCAGCGCGCCATCGACACTCAGGAATCATCTCGCTGTCGACTTCATCACGATTTACTTGGAAATCGCGCTGTCGCTCGAGACTTCCTCGCGATACATGCAGGACGCCTGCTTCAGCAACCCGCCTGCTCGACCTGGCCGCCTAGGCCCGCCTTCCCGACCCGCCCGATAGGGTCTGCCCGCCCGATCTGCCCGTCTGGTTCTGCCACGTGCTTTCTGCTCCTAGCCCCCCTCCTGCTAGTCTGTCGTGCTCCATCCTCCTCCCTGCCCATTGTCCCTCCTTTCCATCCGTCCTCTCTTCCCCCTGCCTTAGGGGCTGCACGAAATACACGCTGCAGGAAAGAAAGATATAGCCCTAAGGTGGCACTATCGAAAACAAAGCGTACGGGCATCGAGGGTTTGGGATGCACATGTTGAATGGTTCGCGAGCAGATAAGCGCGAAAAGTCTCAACGTTATACATGTTTTTGTCGTTGCTATTGCTGATGTTGATGTTGTTGAATACTCATTTCTAAAGGATAAGTATGGTTGATCTCCGGAAGCGCCCCCGCTCGAGCGATGGCTTGACCGTAAAGTGCGCCCTTGGAGACCCAGCTACCACAACAACGGCTCCCGCTCGATACTTCCTCACAACTCACTTCGAGACACCCTGGCCAGAGAGGCCTCCGAACTCAGGAACGGCGCTCTCGCTCGAGAATTCCTCGCAATTCAATCAAGTTGGCGGGGGCCCAGCCACGACGACAAAGGCTCCTGCTCGATACTTCCGCACGATTTACTCCGAGAGCCCCTGGCCAGGAAGGCCCCCGAACTCAGGAACGGCGCTCTCGCTCGAGACTTCCTCATGATTCAGTCACATTGGTGGAGGCCCGCATGCGACGACAAGGGCTCCCGTTCGATACTCCTAAATATGTATTCACAAAGGCCCTTGCCCACCGAGGTCCTGGCGCGCTGCCCACTGAGGCCCCCAACACACAACCCACTGAGGCCCAGAGTAAACCCACAGGGACCGTAGCATGATGCCCGCAGGCCCTCCGGCACAGCCCACATAGGCGCCAAGCGCGCCCACAGAGGCTCCCCCCCGCTGCCTACAGAGGCCCCAAGCGCGCCCAGAGGGCCCAGCGCGCTGCCCACTGAGGCCCCCGACGCAGCCCACAGAGGCCCCAGCCCACAGAGGCCCCAAGCGCGCCCACAGGGGCCCCAGCACGCTGTCCAATGAGGGCCTCCAGCACAGCCCACAGAGGCTGGAACCCCCGCCCCGAGAGTGTCCACGGAGGCCCCAACGCGCTGCCCACGGAGGCCCCCCGTTCCACAGAGGCCCCCGACACAATCAACAGAGGCGCCAGCCCGCAGAGGCCCCGAGGGCGCCCACAGAGGCTCCCGCGCGCTGCCCACCGAGGCCCCCGACACAGCCCACAGAGGCCCCGAGCGTGCCCACGGAGGCCTTGGCGCGCTGCCCACTGAGACCCCGACTTCCTACAGAGGCCCCACACGCGCCCGCAGAAGCTCCTGCCTACAGAGGCCCAAAGCGCGCCCACAGAGGCCCCAGCGCGCTGCCCACTGAGGCCCTCCGACGCAGCCAACCAGAGGCCCCAGCCCACAGAGGCCCCCCAGCACAGCCCACAGAGGCCCCAAGCACGCCCACCGAGGCCCCAGCCCGGAGAGGCCCCAAGCGCGCCCACAGAGGCCCTCGCGCGCTGCCCACTGAGGCCCCCGACGCAGCCCACCGAGGCCCCAAACGCGCCCGTAGAGACCTTAGCACGCAGATGCCCCAAGCGCGCCCAGAGGCTCCCCCCCGATGCCCACTGAGGCCCCCGACGCAGCCCACAGAGGCCCCAGCCAACAGAGGCCCCAAACGCGCCCACAGAGGCCCCAGCGCGCTGCCCACTGAGGCCAACCGACACAGCCCACAGAGACCCCAAGGGCCACCGCAGAGGCCCCAGCCCGCAGAGGCCCCGAGCGCCACCACAGAGGTCCCCGTTCGCCGCCCACTGAGGCCCTCGACGCAGCCCACTGAGGCCCCAAACGCGCTGACAGAGGCCCCAGCCCGCAGAGGCCCAAAGCGCGTCCTGAGGCCCCGGCGCGCTGTCCACTGAGGCCCCCGACGCAGCCTACAGAGCCAAACGGATTGCCAGGATTCAAAATATTATGTATGACATGTGAAAACAGCACAATACACGATGCCCTACCCACGGAAAGGATTTCTGGAAACACATCTATAGAGAAGCCAATGCCTACGCCATGCGAGAGAAGGAAACTGTTACATAATTTACAAGCAAGACTATATCAGACAGAACAAGACACACATCAAACACATCAGAGGATGCTGGGATGGTGGTGTGAGTAATGAGGGTGCTGCAGGAGGCCACTGGATTGAAGTTGCTCCAGAGAATGGCCCGTGGACACTCGTGTGCTCAGAAGCCTACATGTTTGATGTGGGCTCCACCGTGACGGAAGCAGAGTTGTCTGCTGCCGAGCGCCTGTGTACAGGTGTGGAGCAGATTGTTAAAGAAATTTCCTCTGCAAAGCGGAGGAGGCGGATTTAACTGGCTCTAGCCCCTAGGCTTGGGCGCTCGCGCCCTGTGTAGCCTGACCACTCAGCAAACTCGAGCTGTAGATTAGCTAGAGAGCTCTTTGGCACATCAATCGGAGTAAGATCATCAGGCGCGATAGTCTGAAGTATCTAGACGCTTGAATTCGGTCTGCTATCAGCGCAGGAGTCGAACGACTATTCGTACTCTGTTATTTGCTGGAGATGGAACTGGTTTTCTTGACTAAACTCGAGCTGCAGATGAGCTGCAGAGATCTTCAGCACAACAATCGGACGGAAATCATCAGGCGCGCTAGTTCGAAGTATCTAGACGCCCGAAATCAGTCTGCTATCAGCGCTCGGGCTGAAACACTTTTCGTACTCTGCTAATTTCTTGGATATGGTATTGGTTTTCCTGACTTAACTCGCGCTGCGGATGAGGTACAGAGCTGTTCAGCACAGCAATCGGAAGGGAATCATCAGCTGCGCTAGTTAAAAGTATCTAGACGCCTGATCTCGGTCTGCTTTCAGCGCTGGGGCCGGCAAACTATTCGTACTCTGCTAAGTCTTTGGAGATGGTATTGGTTTTCACGATTTAACTCGAGCTGCAGATGAGCTACAGAGCTGTTCGGCACAGCAATCGGACGGAAATAATCGGGCGCGCTAGTTTAAAGTTTGCGGATGCCTGAACTCGGTCTGCTATCAGCGCTGGGACCGAAAGAGTATTCGTACTCTGCTAGTTTTTTTAGAGATGTTGATGGTGTTCTTTGCGCTCTTCGGAACAGCCATCAGAGGGGAATCAACAGGCGCGCTAGTTTACAGTGTCCAGACGCCTGAACTGGGTCTGTTTTTTTTCCAGAGACGCTTTTCCCTCACCCCTTCTCCTTCTCTACGTCCTCCTTCATGAGACCGCGCCCTCGCGCGCGCAATGCGAGATTGCCGCGCCGCCCCAGCCCACAGAGGCCCCAAGCGCGCCCACAGAGGCCCCAAGCGCGCCCACAGAGGCTCCCCCGCGCTGCCCACCCGACACAGCCCACAGAGGCCCAAGCCCACAAAGGCCCCAAGCGCGCCCACAGAGGCCCCCGCGCGCTGCCCAATGAGGCCCTCCGGCACAGCCCACAGAGGGCCCAAGCGCGCCCACAGAGGCCTTTGCACGCAGAGGCCCAAAGCGCGCCCACAGAGGCTCCCGCGCGCTGCCCAGTGAGGCCAACCGACACAGCCCACAGAGGCCCCAAGGGCCACCGCAGAGGCCCCAGCCCGCAGAGCTCCCAGGAATGGCGCTCTCGCATGAGACTTCTTTGCAATTCAATCAAGTTCGCGGATGCGGATGCCCAGCCGCGACGACAAGGCTCCCGCTCGATATTGCCTCGCGATCTGGGAGGCCCTGGCCAGAGAGGTTCCCGAACTCAGGAACAGCGCTCTCGCTGTGGAATCCTCGCAACTCAGTCAAATTAGTGGGGACGCAGCCGCGATGACAAGGGCTCCCGCTCGATGCTTCCTCGCGATTTGCTCCGAGAGGCCCTCTCGCGTGGTCCATCCTTCTCTTCCCCCGTCCGTCCTCCCTTCCCCTGTTTTGGGGTTGCGCTAAATGTGCGCGGCAGGTGAAGAAGATATACCCCCGAGGGGGTACGGTCGAAGACAGAGAGGGCGGGTATCGAGGGTTTGGCATATACGTGTTGCGTGGCACGCGATCAAGCAAGAACAATATGTCTGAACATGATCGTAAATGTCGTCGCCCTCATCCTGACACACTCACGACCCACCCGCGGTCCGCCCAACGACCTACCCCACGACTCACCCGCGGTTCACTCGTGACCCACCCGCGACCCACCCCGCGCCTGCCCCCTGACTCTGATCCGTAGTTGCAGGGAGGTACGTTGTCTCCTCCTCCTCCTCCAATTCCTCCTCCTCCTCCTCCTCCTCCTCCTCATCCTCCCCCCCCACTGAAATCCTGCTGCAGTCTCCTCGCCCGACCTTCGCCCGTCTCCGGGTCCGGCCCCAGCGGGCACGTCCACTCGTAGGCGCACTCGGCGTACCGCCAGCACTGCCTCGACTCCGGCGGGCGCGCGTCCGTGCTGCTGGCCTGCCCAAGCCCCAAGCGGGCACGAGGCGGGGGCCACCCCATCTTTCTGCGGCAAGGAGGAGGAGGAGGAGGAGGAGGAGGAGGAGGAGGAGGAGGAGGGGCCACCCGGCTGCCCGTCTGTCGGGAACACGGGCCGGCCACGGAGCAGCTCCCAGGCTCGGGTCGGCGGGGGGAGGGGGAGGATTGGCGGCTCCACGTTGAGAGTCGAATGTTCCCTGGCCTTCCGGGAGGGTCGAAAATGGTTGCCAGCGTGGAGCCCAAGAAATGTAAGACTGGACTGCGGACGTGTGCACCGTGTGGTGCGAACGATACTGTGTGAGCTGTGAGGCTTGGCTTACGTGGTGCCAGATACGTGGCCTAAGCTGTGTGGTGTTGCTAGATATGTGGTGCAATGTATGCGGTAAGAGCTACGTGTTGTACGCTTCGTCATGCAAGCTGAATAGAGCGTGGCGAAAAAATGCGGTGCAACCTGTTCAGTGCAAGCTATGTGGTGTAATATATGCGGTCCACGCTATGTGGTGCAAGCTGCGTGGTATACGCGTTGTCATGCCAACTATGTGGTGTGGCCAACGTCGCGCAAACTGTGCGGTCGAAGTTCTGCGGTGTGGGTCACGACGTGCAAACAATATGGTGCAAGCTGCGTTGTGCCGATGTGGTGCAAAATATGTGCACAAGGAGGCATGCGCCCAGCTGGCTTCGAAGGCCAGCCACGGGCGAAAACATGGTGACACCTCGGACACACTCATCCAGCACACGAATAATCAACGAGGCGCCCATGGGCGGCTACGCAACGAAACCTCGACTCAACGATCCAGCACACAAGACGCCCACGAGACGCCCACGGGCGGCAACGACGAGAAACTTACGCAACGTACGAACGCACAAAACCTCAACTCCCTCGGGGTCCTCGCGGTCGCCTGCAAATGGCGAAAGCACCCTGTGGCTGCGGCGCGGGTGCGGGTGGCCTGCAGGCGCTCTGCGCGCATCCGCCGCCTGCCGATGCGGGTAAGCGCCGGCACGGCCGCGGGCGCCAAATTACGGCCCTGGGCGAGCTCGAGCAACTGCGCTGTGTTTTGGGTGCCGACCCCCCTCTGAATCTGGAGAGGGGCCAAACCGCCCAACCCGGAGCAGGCGAAATCTGCAGATTCGTGACATGTGTTGATTATGGCGCTGAATATCTCGTCGTCTCGGGTCCCTTTGGGGGCCCCATCAAATCTTCAGATTGCCAAATTCTGTTGGTTCGGGACGTGTACCCGACGCATTGAAAATCCACATATTGTAAATTGATCTGTGTACGTGAAACGGGGCCACGGGATCCGAATCGCCAGGGGGCGGCTATCGTCCACACATTGAAGGACATTCTTTGGATCCACGACGGAGTCCCAATCTACAGATTAACAACAATTCTGTGGATGTACGACGGGTACACGACGCAGGCCTGGTCAACATAATTTCAGAATCTGTGGATTTGGAACAGGTCGGGGCCTGAGGGGAAACAATGACGAGGGCGCCCACAACGCGCAGTATGGCATAATCTGCGTCCAAGATGGCGTTTGTTCAGCGGTCCTCCAGATTGACAGGATTTCAAGCCCCCACCAGCATCCAAGCCGTGTCGTTAAGGTTGCCACCGGCCATGGGCGCGGCCGCCAAACTCGTGTTCGGCGCGATGAGCCCCACGTGGCGCCTGGACCCGAAGGCGGCGGTGAGCGTCGCCCCGGAGTTGCAAGCTGCGCGGGCGCTCCAGGTCGACTAGCTCGACCCCGCCTTGTAGCGCAACGCGGCTGCCGCAGTCCACGCAGGAGCTGCGAGGGCCGTTGGGCCGGTGGCGGCTGCCTTGCGCAGCCTTCGCCAACTGGGCTTGGGTAGGGACATGGAGCGCTGGAGTGGCGTGCCAGCAGCGCCGCAAGGGTGGCTTCCAGCAAAGCAATCGCGGCGGGCTACGGAGTGAGTCGTCTTGGCGGCGTGGCCCAAAATCCAGCCTGGGCGGTCCGCGGCGCCCGCGAGCGGGCGGCAGGCGGCCACGCTTGCGGCCGAGGCTGCTTCGGCGCCGCGCAGCATCATGTGCGGCAGCATCGTGACCGAAGCCGTGACGGCGAAATGAAAGGGCGACGCCGGCACGCGGCCGCACCTCAGGCTGGCCCTCGCAGACCACGAGCATCGCCTCTGCCTGTGCCCCGGGGGGCCGCAGCGCGCCGCGCTGCCACGGTCGGAGACCCTGCCGGGGGACGCTTGGGACCAAAGACAGCTGCTGCCAGCCGGGGTCGCGCTGACAGGGGTTCTGGCGTTGCCGCCGCTGCACGCTGCCATTGCGGAGGCCGCCGGGGGCGAGGACCCGCAGCTCCCGCCCCAGGCCGACCTGTTCCCCAACACGCCCCGATGCACGGTGTGGAGCGACGGGGCATGCCTCCACCCCGCTGACCCGCGGCTTGCGCGAGCGCATGATGGGCCTGCGGGCGCAGTGATTGGGGGCTTCCAACCTCGCTAGCCCAGTCGGTGAGCTGCAAGCCGCGCAGCGGGCCGAAATCAAAGCCGCGGTGGCGGAGGCTCGCGTCGTCAGCGGCCCAACCGACGTCGCCTCGGACAGCCAGTGCGTTGTGCGGGCGTGCGCGCAGATATGGGCAGGCGCAAACGTGCGGGACTGGGGGCACGCCGACCTGTGGCAGCCGCTGGCGGGCGCCGTGCGCAGCTGGCGGCTCCAGGCCCGCTTGGTGCCAGCGCACAAGACGCATGCTAAGGCGCGGCGCTTGGGACTGAGCGAGCGGAACCGCCTCGCCTCGGCAACGCGGCGGCCGAGGGCAACGCTGGCGCCGCCGCTGCAACCTGGGCCCCGCCTCCAGAGCTGGGGCGCTCGCGCCACCGGAAGCTTGAGCTGCTGGATGAGGCCGCGCGGCAGGCCACATTGGCGGCAGCGCCGCTGGCCGCGTGCCGCCAGCGGCACGACAGGCGTGGGACCCGCCGCGGAACTCGCGCGCGCGCCGCGTCTGCCCCAGTTGCCGGCACCCCAGCCGACCGGCCGTCGCCCGCGCCATGCCCGCGCCAGAGCGGTGCGGACCCGCCCGTCAGCAGGGGGGAAATGCTGACCACGTTCTTTGCTGGCCGCTCATGGTGGTCCCATGCCTTGGCGCGCGGGCCGGGCCTGGTTTTCTGCCTCCACTGCGGCAGCAGCGTGTCGTCGGCGGCTGAAAGGCTCGAGAGCGCGTGCCCCGGGTGGGTCGCCTGTGTGTTGGCGACTTTTCATACGCCGAGGACAGCTCGGCGGCTTTCGCGCACCTGACGGCGCACCGCGACGGGCGTCGGCGAATGCGCCCGCGCCCGCTGTCCGCACGTCAAAGACGCCTAATTGCACGCACTGGCTGGGGAAATAACACCAGGAACTTGCAATTCAAGGTGTAGTCGAGGTTGTAAGCAGTCTAGATGGGAGCAGGATGAAGAAGAGGTGTCACCCTTCGACACGCGGCTCTACCCAACACAGGCCAGCAAGAGGAAGTAGAAAGTGACAAAGAACAAGCTGCATAAACGCAACTGGCGGAGGTCCGTGAGGATTTCTTGGATCGGCGATGCGTTCCCCCTCCCTGGCGTGTGGCCCCCAATGCACCGCCATGGACGTCCAGCCACGGTCCAATCAATCCTCGCGGACATGGGACTGTTGACTGACCCTGCTGCGCGAGCCTCGCACCGTCCCCAGCAAGGGGGACGCGGCCAAATCCGTTCAGAATCGGTCCCTGGACCTCTCCCAGGGTCCATCTGGCGCAGTGGTTTTTGAAGGGGCCCTGGGACACACAAATAAATACACAAATAATAAGATTTCCTATAGTTTCCTGTATTTTCTGGTTTTTGTCTTCCCCCCACTTCCCATATTTTCCCATATTCTCTGGGGAATCGACGATGAATTGCGCCTGTGTGTCTTTCCCTCCTGAGTTTTTACCGTGGATCCTTTGTTGACGGTCCCGGGGCCCGAGAACGTCTCCAGGCATCGACAACAAGCGGGAACCCCTCTCGAGCTCAGCCGCGACGGGGCCTCGCACAGGGCCTCGTCCCCGGCGCTGCAGGACACGTTGCGCGTCTGCTCCCCCTGCCCGCACGCGCTGGAGCAGTCGCTCCAGCCGGCCGCCGCCTCCCAGGCAGGCACGGCGGTGGCGGTAGTGGCGGTGGTGCCTGGAGGCCGCCCGAACGGGGCTTTCGAGCACAGGCAACCCGTACAGTAAGGATGCTCGATAAGGATGCAAAGGCCTTGGGAGCCCATTTCGAAGCTTCTCGAGCGGGGCGCGGCCAATGAAGGTGGCCAACGATGGACCCAGGAGGCAAGGATGCAGGGGTTCCCTCGGGAAGGCTAACCTTCCTTACTGTGCGGGTGGACTGTAGACAGGGTCGAAGGATCGCGCCGCATCGTGGATGCATCGCCGATGCACCCGCGGTGCTTGGCGACGTCCGTGACGCCTCGGCGACGTCGGCGCGGAGGGGATCGGGCTCCACATCGAGCCACATCTCCGACGCATCGGCGATGATGGGCATGTTTTCCACCACCACCACCATAAGTTAGAGGGGGGGGGAGGAGGAGGAGGAGGAGGAGGAGGAGGAGGAGGAGGAGGAGGAGGAAGACGAAGAGGAGGAGCAGGAGGAGGAGGACCCCCTCCCCCTCCAACCTATGGTGGTGGTGGTGGAAAACACACCCTGCAGCGCGGACCCCCAAGACCATCTGCTCGGACACTCTTTGGAAGGCCTGGGGTGCCGCTGGCAGTGGTGCTGCTGGCGGTGGTGCCGGTCGCCGTGGTCGTGTGCGGCGTCGTGCTGCTCGTCTCGGTCGTGGCGGTCGCCGTGGCGGACGAGGCGGTGGATGTGATCGAGGTGGTCGTCGGGGGCATTGTCAGCGCCGAGAAGGAAGGGGAGGATAGACGGCACGCGGGCACCGCCACGAAAGCCACACGGGAGGAGACAGGGGGGAGGATGAGGAGGCAACTCCCAGAAGTCTTAGTAAGAACTACTGCAAGGCTTGAAACCCGAATAGGAGACCATTGAGCCTGATTGAGCCAGAGAAAATTGAATATGAATAAGCCGAATCGCGCGGGATTGAGCGAGATTCAACGGGATGATGTCAGATTGTGACTGTTTTCGATCAGAGCTATAGCAGCGCCGATGCTGCACTTAGCCTCCCAGGAGATGCACACTACAAAGGAGGTCAGCGCCGATGCTGAATGTAGTCTCGAGGATCCTCCAATCCTGTTGTATACCACACCCTCACCGCCCCAGCCTGAGTCTACGGCCCCGGGCCACGTTCAGCATGAAAAGGCCCCGCCCCAGGGAAGGAGCTGTGAGGAGGAAGAGCGATCAAAAGGGCTCCAAAGCCGTTTGGTGACAGACCTCGCAGTGACCTCGGAATCCGAAGATACCTCATCGCACGGTCCGTCACTGCGCGGTCTTGGGACCCTGGATGCCCTGGCCGCCCGAAGCGTCCCCGGAGAACGACCCGAGTTCCAAAACCGTGGAATGACCCCGAATCCCCACTGACTCACCACACCGTGTGGTCACAACACCGTTTCAGGCCCCGACTGAAGAAAGGGGGGGGGGGGGCGACAACGAGAACGGACAAGCGGGCGGAGAGTCAGCAACGAACGGAGAAGAGAGGGAAAACGGAGCAGCAGCAACGCCGAAACCAAGAGCTAGACGGGCACGCGGGCGGGAGCAAGCGAGCGGACGATACGGAGGAGGAGGAGAAAGAGCATGAGAATGGGGGGGAGGAGAGCACTCACACACACACACACACACACCGTGCTGACATGAGGAGCGCCGAATAAAGAGCGGAAGGGATGTTCTGGCCACCGCGAGCCTCGGCTTGGCATGTGGTTCCCGGGCCTAGAAATGAGGGGACCGCCCTGGAACAACATAGCCTCTCTTCCGAACGCCTTTTGCAATCAGAAGCTCCCCGACCTAGGACCTAGATTAAGGAGGTCCCGGACCGGAATCTAAAGCCCCGTTTCTGAACCCAGAGGGGCCCTTTATTGCAGCGTCTTGACTGCAAGAGGACCAGCAGAAGCGGCAAGCATAGGAGCAAAAGAGCTCCAGAGGGGAGGTGGGCGGGGCTGGGGAGGATAGGCAGGTGGGAGGAGGGTACACTTGTCGTGTCCCTGTTGCGAAACATACACACAATCGGGGATCGAAGATATCTGGCCAAGACCTTCAAGGGGATATGGCTTACCAGATGGGCGCGGAGGACGAAGAGTCGCACGACGAGGAGGATGAAAAGGACTAGGATAATGAAAAGGGCGAGTGGGGCGAGGAGGACGAGGAGGATGACGATATCGAGGAACATGACGAGGCGAGCGACGACGACGGGATGTGGTGGCGGGGCCATGCAGCTCCCCGCGCCGGCGTCGATCGAGAAACACAAGATGGCGGAGTCGGTCCCCAGGCTGGCCACGGCCACGGACATGTCGTCTGTGGCGTCGCCATGCACCTGGGGATGTTCCATCCCCGACCCGTGTTTGGTGGCCCCCAAGGACCGACAGCGGCCAACAGGGGCCGAAATCGAGAAAACACAAACCGAAGAACACATGATCGCTGAAAATCTGTGGAAGGGGAGCTCCTCCGCCCCCCTCCTCCTCCTCCTCCTCCTCCTCCTCCTCCTCCTCCTTCTCCTCACCCTCCTCCTCCTCCCCCTGCTCCGCCACCTCCTCTTCCTCCTCCTCCTCCTCCTCCTCCTCCTCCTCCTCCTCCTCCTCCGCCTGGGCACCGGGCACTGACGGCATCGGATGCCTCCTCATTCTCCTCCCCCTGTTCCCCCAGATGTCCTGGGCACTGAACGCTGACGGCATTGGATCAGAAATTGGAACTGGTATCTCCTCCTCCTCCTCCTCCTCCTCCTCCTCTTCCTGCTCCCTCTCCTCCGACGACGACGGCGACTTTCCGTGATTGGCGGAGGTCGCCGTACCGCCTCCTTCGGGGGCCCGGCGTCTAGGCTCGTGCCGTCGAGCACGCCAATTACGTTGCACACCAGGGCCTGAGATCAGGGCGGCGGCAGCAATCCCGCCTCCCCTTGTATAAAGATACATGTAAACTCAATAAAATCACGCCCGCGCTACGCGCGCGCGCGCCGAAGTTCGACTTAGATCCGAAGAAAGTGTGTGCTCATCGCGTGAACTCCAGGGGGCCAAGGGAGAGGGCCCGCGCGTGCATCGCCTTTCTTTCAACGGATGCGAGATATTCACGTGTGTATGTATGTATGTACGTACGTACGTACGTATGTATGTATGTATGTATGTATGTATGGATGGATGGATGGATGCACGTCTGCATGCGTATATGTATATATATATATATGCATGATACATATAGACACATATATATATATATATATATATATGTATGTATACACATGTCGTGTAGGCGCGGATCTATAACATCGACGTCGGCGCTGTTCGCACAACCGAGAGCGGGAAACGGGAGGGTTCGAACCCCCTGCGGCCCCCCAGATCGCACCGAAAACGACGCGTTCCCACGAAACGGTGACAGCAGCATGTAAATATCAGTGGGCTCGGCCGAATTTTCTGCCAGAGGACCGACCGGTCACTCGCTCTCCCTCGGCGCGCGTGCGAAGTGGGTTTCCGCTTCACAGATTGTCTTGGCGTGTTTGTTGCTGTCGCGTCGATTTCTCACTTATAAAAAATGGTTGCTCCCCTGGCCCAGTGCTCCTCCCGGGGCTCGCACCTTGCTGTTCACCAGGGAATCTCTCGGGGCCCAGGATGCTCTGTGACGCTGAGGAGGGCGAGGGCGCGAGAGGCGAACGAGCGGAGAAGAAGGAGCCTGCGGAACAGGAGGCGTAGGAGGAGGCAGTGCAGGCTACGAGGAGGAGGGGGCACGGCAGGCTGAGTCGCAGGAGTAGCTGAGGCCGCCGCGAGGCAGGAGCACTTGACTCGAAGGATGGCTGCAGCCAGTGCAATTAGAAGCCCGGTCTGATTAGGAAGGCATGTGGGGTATATTGGGAAACCTCTTTTGCCCCCTTGGAAACAATTTCGAAGCCTCTCTGGGCCCTGCTCGGGCCTGTCTGGGCGCCTCTTGGCGCCTCTGTGCGGGCTGTTTCGGCACCTTTGGGGCCTCTGGGGGCCCCTCTTCGGCAATATTGAAAACCTCGTGGGTCCTTCTTTTGGTCGTCTTCGACGCCTCTTGGGCCGTTTTGGGGCTTTTGGGGGCCATTTTGGGACTCCCTTGCGGGCCTCTTGGGCTGTTGTGGAGCGGTGTGGTGGGGGCCGCTTGGGCCGTCGGGGGCGCTGTGGAAGCACCGAGAGTCGCACATGCTGAAAATGTCCGTTTTCCTTGAGGGGCGATCTGGGCTTCCTGGAAGCCTCTTTGGGCGTCTTGGGGGGGGGCCCTTGGCCCTTTTTGAAGCCATCCGGGGAGCTCGCAGGGCGTCTGGAGCAGGCTCTGGCCCGGCCCAGGCAGCCTTCGGAGCCGCCCGAGAATCCTCAGGCAGTCCAAGGGCTCGTGGATCCGGGCCCGCCCCAGGTCGATTCCTATTCCCATATCTAGATGTGTATATATGTACACAGATACCTATGTATACATTGTATAACGTTATACAAGTATAGACCGTATATGCACATTGAGTTTTATATATCTATACGTATATATAAAATCCCTCTGAACATGTGATGGTCATCCTCCCCGTTCCTCCTCCACGTCCTCCTCATCCACTCCCTAGCCTTTTCGCCTCGAAGGTTCGAGGTTGGCCGAGCGCACTTAGAAGGGGGCACAGCTCGGCCGAGCCACAGCAGCATCGTGATATTCCAGGCTGGGCTCTTCTCGGGGGCTTCGACGTCGTGGTCGAGGTGACTCTCGGGGAGGGTGCCCTGCAGCTGATGCTTTTCGTGGTCCTCTTCGTGTGGGTGGACGTGGTGGCTGCGAATCAGAGTCTCTTCAATGGGATTCGAGTGGCACCAGTCACAAGTGTGTGGTTCAACGTGCTCTCGGTGATATGTAAATGATCCTGGGTGGGTTCGTCGGATGGCCGCTTCGTGGGAAATGTCGAACCGGCAGATAGGAGTACGCCGTGTGGCTCGACAGCCCATGGGGGGGGGGCTGGAACTCAGAGGGAGCATCGGGTCCGCCCTTGCGCCCTCTGCGGCCAAGGAGGGTTCGCCCTCCCTTCGCGCGCTGCGATGGAG